CAGCAGCAGCAGCAGCAGCAGCAGCAGCAGCAGCAGCAGTTGTTGCTGCAGCAGCAGGCAGCAGAAATAGGTGTGAAGGAAGCAGAGGCAACAGCAGACATGCATGGAGCAGCAACTCCTGCTGCAGAAATCGCAGCAGGAGCTGCAGCAGCTGCAGCAGCAGCAACAGCAGCAGCAGCAGAAGGACCTGCAGCAACTTCTGCTGCGCCAAATTCGGCAGCAACGCCTTACCTCCTTTCCTCCTCCGAATACAGCAGCTGCTGCAGCAGCAGCGAAATCGGCAGCAGCAGCAGCAGCAGCAACAGCAGCAGCAGCAGCAGCGTACTGGATGATACGTTTGTAGATATTGCGTTGGTTGACTTCGGCTCTGCTGAGGTCGTCAGACCTCTCCGCAGCAGCAGCAGCAGCAGCAGCAGCAGTTTTAACAGGTGCAGCAGCGGCAGCTGCAAGCCAGAGGCATCACCGGCCGGAACAGCTATGTACATGTAAGCTTCGCTGTTTCCTTCTGCTGCTGCTGCTGCTGCTGCCTTTGCTGGTGCTGTCTTCGTTGCTGCTGCTGCTGTGTTTGTTGCTGCTTGATTTGGTGGTGCTACTGCGTTTGCTGCTGTTTCATTTATGTTCTGCTGCATCATTTGCTGCTGCTGCTGCTGCGGTTGCTGCTGCTGCTGCTGCGTTTGCTGCTGCAGGCCCCCTGAGGTATTTGCGCAGACTTCTGTGGGGTGGGGAGGCGACATTTGGGCAGCTGGGATCGTCTTGTGTTTGCTGCTGACCGGCCATTCTCCATTTGAAGGCAGCAGCATTTTAAATACTCTCAGCAGCAGCAGCAGCAGCCGCAGCAGCAGCAGCAGCAGCAGCAGCAGCGGCGGCGCTCCCAGTAGGAAGCGGCGGCCGTCAGTTAGTGACCCTGCGGGTACATTTGCTGCAGCAGCAGAAAACAGCAACGCAGCAGCAGCAGCAGCAGCAGCAGCAAAGAGTGGTGCTGCTTCCTGTTACGGATCTCCTTCCAGCGTCAGCTGCGCGAATTGCTGCGCATGCGCAGCAGCAGCAGCAGCAGCAGAAGCAGCAGCAGCAGCAGCAGAAGCAGCAGCAGCAGAAGCAGCAGTGAGCGCACGTTTGCGAGAAGTATTTGCTGGAGAAGACTGGGTGGATGTACCTGCAGCAGCAAAAAAATTAATTAGTGAGATGCTGCAAGTAGAAGCAAAGCGGAGGCCGACAGCAGCAGAAATACTAACAAGTGAATGGTTGACAGAAAAAGATTAAAAAATAATATATATATATATGTATATATATATTTATATATTTTAAAGATAATAATATCGATGGGTTAAACAAATAATATCGGCAGCTGAGCTGTACGTACACCGCAGCATCAAACTTATCAAATACACACAAAAACAGCAAAAAAGAGAGAGAAGAAGACAGCAATAAAAGGATGGAATCAAAGAAGAGAGTGAAGAGAGAGAGACCAGAGAGAGACGACAAAAAGATTAAAAATAAAGATAAATAAAAATAGAGAGAAGAAAGAAATGAAGGAAAAGACAGAAAAAGATATCACCGCCGAGGGGTATATACACCGCAATGATAGACAAAGCGACAATAAAAGTAGACATAAATAAAAATAAATAATAACTAAATAGATAAATAAATAGATAAATAGACAGCTGAGGTGTATGTACAGCTCAAACGCAGAGAAAATGCACGAGAAGTAAATATATATCAGCGGATATACACAAAGATCAAAACTTTCTCTGCTTTTATAACAAAGAAAGGCAAACGAATTTTTATTAATTTACTAAAAGAAGAAAGATAAAGCAGCAGCTATCGCAGCAGCATACTGACAGCAGCAGCAGCAGCAACTGCAGCAGCAACTGCAACAACTGCAGCAGCAACAGCAGCTACTGCAACAGCAGCTGCAGCAGCAGCAACAACTGCAGCAGCAGCAACAACTGCAGCAGCAACAGCTGCAACTTTAATCCGTGTAGCAGCGAAGAGGGAAGCAGCAACCACAGCAGCAGCAGCATCAACACCACCGAGCTGCTGCTGCTGCTGCTGCTGCTGCTGCTGCTGTTGTGC